ACCATTCGAGAGACATGTTGACCGCCATATGTATGCAGTAGCCAACAATGCAAAAATGGATGAAGGGATTGAGCGATTAAAATCAAATGTTGGTAGTTACATGAAGGCAATGGCAAAAACTGTCCCCATCACTTGGGTGGACTTTCAAACTAAGGTACAAGAAGCTGGGAAGACAACAATGCGCATGTCCTTGAATAAGGTATCATATGATTATTTAAATTATTACTTAGGATTAGGCAACATTTGATGAAGAGCGATTTCTTTTACGTTTACATTTAGATTTATTAGTGAAAATGTTTGTAATTTTAATAAATGTGAATTTGCTAATTATTTTATGATTAAACAGTTTTTCGCGTGGTAATATTTTTAGACAGCCCTCAATTTAAATATGTTTATATATATTTTTTTCTTTAGGTCACTGAGATTGCTCTGGAATGTGGTATTAATAAAGAAAACCTAATTTACGTCCTCAATTACCTGAATGATCTTGGAGTCATTCTGTACTCGCCCACTAACAAGAAGTTGGAGAACACAGTGATTACTAATATCCATATGCTGATTGGTGTCTTCATGAAAATCATCACAGACGTAGAACCTAATGATGCTAAAAAGGTACCGTATAGTTTTTAATGTATAAAAGATAGGCCAACAAAATACAATTTTAATTATTTGATTACAGTTCCTATTGGCGGAAGCAAGCGGATGGTAGTGGTGGGAGAGAGGTGCACAGCCGTTCCGGGCTCCAAAAATAGAAAAAGAAATATAGAAAATTTGAAAAAGAGCCATTTACGGCTATTTGAAAGTACTATAGACATGCAATATCGTATGTCCGGCCCAACTATGGTGGGTCTGAGGCAGAGGTGGTACCATTGGGTGACATCAACAATTTAAAAAAACAATTTGCCTATCCAAACAACGTTATTTTGATTGCTAATCCGTAATATTGTGTTGTAAAAGCACATTTTAGACTATAGTAAGTCCCCGTTGAATCCTACCAAGAATTTCTTATTCTGGGCCGTTGACCGAGGCTGTAGTCGGCCTGTTGGTTCCGAGCCCTCCATCGGCGATTTTGCCCTTGTCTGCAATTTCTGGCGTCACCGCTGGTCTGAGGTAGTTTGGAGCCTCTATCTGTAAAATTGACTTTCTGGCCACCTCTATTTTATTATTAGTAATTCTGTTAGTGTTACTGGGCTGTGTGGTGATAGGTGAAGGGGGAATACTTTAGTAATTATATCATAATAATAGGTTTGTGTGTATGCATTGTATTATAATATTTACAGTATATCAATCTCATGGTATCACTTTTAAGTCTGGTCTCTGTTTAACTAATTTCAATGCACGAGAGATTTGAATGTAATTTGCATAATATCTTACATTGCCATAGTCTACTACCTCCCCTGTCCATATTCGTAAACATGTGATCCAAGTGAGGCTTTTACAATTGTAACCACCATTTTGCCAAACACATTAGCTTTCGATAAGATTTTAATTTTTCGATTTTTTTGTTTTTGTTTTGTTTTATGTTCATGTAGGTTCCAGTGATGGCGAAGTTTTGGCGTAAATTGGATGAAGGAGGGATTCTTCAAGAACCGTTAGTGCGTTATTTGTGGGAAAATGAACTTACTGCCACTGAAGATGAGGATGACGTCATCTTTGAAGACTTCATCGAACTTATGAAGGCATTTGGACTTATCTTTGAAAAGGTGTGGTCTATTGCTAGGTTATTGTAACAACAGAAAACCTAGTCCTTTTCTCAAACTATGTGAAAAACTTTCGTAAGGTGCAAAACATTATTTCGTATAATCGAGACTCGAGGCTGTTAATTTTACGGAAATCCTATTATGTAATTTCATTTTATATTTGTTCATTTTGGGAAGATGAGAGAATACAATGGGTTTGTAGAAGTTGAAATACGGCCAATTCATCATGTGCATTCCCCCCACCCGCACCCACAATTTAATTATTTCAAATGCAATGTTTTTTTCATTTAAAAATAAAGAATGCATCAGAAGAGGACGGTCGACTATTTGTCGTTCCTTCTCGGATGAAGACCGAGCCTGATAATAGATTGGAGATTAAGAAAGACGAGGAGCAAACAGTATCCATCTATGTGACGCCTAAAGACTTTCTCCCCGACGCCATCTACGATGTCTTGGTCGTTAGATTTGTGAACCTGAGTCAGGAGAGAGGTTGTTTTGATGATCCTGAGTTATTTCAGAATAAATCTGAAATAGTATTTGATGATGAGCATTACGTAAGGCTAGGACGAATATTCATTGGTAGCAAACAGTGTCTAAAGGTAAATATGCCTCTTGGTTTTAAAATGCATATATTTCTTTATTATTCTGTTAATTATTTATTAATTATAATAACACCATTTCAATTTTCATGAATATGCTTTAATCAGAATTATATCTCTCGTAATCTGCAGTTTTTCCTTCAATTTTTTAAAGCTTGAAATATCGCGAATGAAAGACGCAGACGATGCAGACAAGCCAATATGTAAGCCGCATCCTACCATCTGTAAGGAGGTAATGACGTCATTGACTGATTTTTAGTTATCTATGATTATCCTAAAATCACTGTACATTTGATAAAAAGAGGGTAATTACAGTCCAATTGCATTTAGTATATGATGTTATTTTATTTAATTTTACAGGTTTTGGATATTTTAAAGCAACACCTAGATGAGGTATATCCGTCTAAGAAAGTTGTCGGCTATACTCTGAACATACTTTGCTTCGTCTGTTTAAAGTCGGAGGAACCACATTTCCAGGATCTTGAAAAGTGCTTAAAGAAGAAGAAAATGAATTGCAAAAAAACAGGTGAACGTACAGTGAAGTCAACAGCTGAAGTACAGAGCCTGTTTGAAGCAGGTATGGAAGTGTTGATGCTAATAAACTATTAATTCATAAAATCTTTCTTATAGAGGAAATCTGAATTCAGGAAGAGGAACAATAATAAACATAGTCGGAATTTGAATTTTTATATATTAATCGACATGCAAATTTGGATGTCATTTTTCAGGTGGTTCTGTTGTACACCCAGTACAGTCAACTGAGCTTATGACCTCTGATAAAACAGGTCAACAAGTGACAATGGAAACAGATGATGTACATAATACATGTGCAGAAGGTATGAATTGCAATTATAAGTAGCACCTTCTTTAGACTAACGAAATTTATTTAGCTTTCGTTAGCTTCATCGGGAGACACAAGGCATACAACAAGATTGAGTATTGTAGTAGTAGTAGTAGAAGCCAGATGAACGTTTACAATCAAGGCATTCAACGGTTTTGTTTTCAAAGAAAATTTTATAATCTGGAAAACGAGTGGGGGACATACTAAAACGCAGTCTATACCTGTCTCTTATACACATCTAGATGTGTATAAGAGACAGGCCAAGTAAGAAAACAAAAAAAATTAAAACATAAGTTGTAAGAAGTACAGTAAAACCAAATTTAGTTCTTTAAAAGCTGACATAATTGCCTGTCTCTTATACACATCTAGATGTGTATAAGAGACAGTATATATATATATTGTTCATAGAACATAATGGATAATGATAAAGAGCTATCTGTATGATATAGTTGTTTTGGGATCGCTTATGAAAATAATTCACTCCCAGTAATGGTTAAACTATTTAATATTGAAATATATATACATATCCATACAAAATATACATTTTAAAATGAAAATGAAATATGGTTAAATATTGACATCTTAATCATCTCATTATTTTATAGAATTGTCAAACTTCAGTGTGCTGAAAGCTGTTGTTTCAAGCTGGTATGATCGCCACCGAAGTCTTTCTATGCTGAAAGTGTTGTTCAGAGACAAGGTGGACAATCACAAGCTATCACAAGTAAATAAGACGATGAACTTGCTCAATAATTTGATTACACATGATCATCTGAGTTCACGAAATCTTGGACTCCTGTGTGATACTATTAGAGTAACCAAACATTTAGGTCTTTTAAAGGAGATTAAAGAAAAACTACCATCATTTCCGGATGTGAGGGAAGGAAACATTTCAACAAAATTCACACCTCACAGACAAAAGCTAATGGAATTTGGAATGGTACTGACCCCATCCGATGTGACGCAGATCGATGAGTTGTATAATACACCTCCTAAGGACTATACAGACGGCTGGGAAATGATCACTGATCTTGAAGACAGACTCATAATCATGGAAGGAAATATGAATAAATTCATTGAATTGTTGAAAATCCTAAATCTCCGTCTGGCCATGGACGCACTAACAACATGAAGGTATTCCTCATTGTTTTAAATAACCATGACATGGGTTTTATGTTACATTATTTTATATTGTAAATGTCGTTATGTATAAAGAATGGCTTGAGAGATCAGATTATTATTATTATTATTATTATTTTTATGCTGCCTACATTCATATACAAGTTTACCGTAATTAATCCTCTTTTTTTTTAATGCAGATGGACTTGATTCCTAAAAAATATTTTGTGTACTGCACCTTCTATTAATATAATAAAAGACAGATTATAGTGGATTGATAAACTGTACTGACTTGTCATTGTACTGTTATTTTTGGGGGGATTTTGTAAATTGCAATTAAAAAAAAACCAAACAAAAGCAAGTTGAGACAATCATTAATTTAATTCATTGATAGATCAAATTATTGTAAAGAGAAACCGAATTATCTTTATTTTGCAGTATGTTCTATAACATATGTGACTATGAAACTAAAATAAGCTACTTATTTACTATTAAGTTAAATAATATATACTCATAGAAAATTACTCAACTTGTTTGTAACACGTGTTAAATTGCTAAGGCTATTTTTGGAATAATCTATAAATTTATTGGGTGATTTTTAAATGGAGCAAATCAGAATTGAGGCAGACGAACGTTGGTAAACACAGTTGGAAATTTTTATTTATTAATCAAGTAAATCTAAATAATCAATAATAATCATTTTATGAAAATGTGTTTTTACAGGTTGATCAAAATGGAATTATAACCATGCTGAAATTATTGTACAATGACGTTGATCCGCTAGGCTCCACGACCACGTTGGACTTGTTGAAGTTATTGAACCGCAATGAAAGTCTAAAGTCGACTGACTTTAAAATCCTACTGGATAACATTATTGTTACTGATACAATGTTGTGAAGGGAAAGTCAGTGATCTACTGTGTAAGGCTTTCCACGAAACCACTGTGACGTCATTCTCAGTTCATCGACAGAATCTGATCAAACTCGGTCGAGTAATTTCAGAGGATGACGTTAAGACGCAGGGTGGACTCTACGATTTACCACCGAGTCGATACAAAGACCAGTGGACACTGATATTGAATCTGGAGATGAGAGTAATTCGTAGAAATCAAATGAAGTCATTCATTGATGATCTAAATGAAATTGGACTGAATCATGCAGCTACACAATTAGAAAAAGAATTAGAATTTATGACGACACCCATGACGACATCTATGATGTCATCTATGATGACATCTATGACGACTGAATGAATGAAAAAGCGCAATGTACATCTCATGGTCAGGCAAGGAGATAAATATTGAACCGAACTCGGAAAAATCTACTAATAATTAGACAAAACAAACAACTATTAACTATTATTATAGTATTGTACACTTGTATATTTTCTCTAAAATTATTATTCGAAAAACTGATTATGTTCGACAAATATCTCAATATGTTGTAATATATATATACATATATATATATATATATATATATATGTATATATATATATATATATTATTGTTGTATATATAGTGAAAAACAAAGATAAAATCCTCTGTTGCCTAAATGGTATGACGCTTGACGAAATCGCGAGAGATTGTTGGTTCGAATCATCCCATGAGGGACTTTTTTAAATATTACTACCATAATAATAAGGAATTTTCGTTGGTAAACTATGTTTTATATGATATTATCATGTTTCTATTTATTTGAGCACTGTATTAGGCTATTTTCTATTTGATTTATACATTATTTGTGTTCCCAGTGCTAAGCAGCAACTTGATTGAATATGATTTACCAGCTGCTACTAAGCTATTAAATAGTTTTAAAAAATTGCTAGCCTATGTGTGAGCCCTCAAGTTGTATGAAAAGATCTTTGATAAATACATAGGCCTATATGCGTAATAAAAACAGAGATTAAAATGATTTCTTGCTTCAAACAAGGTGTCCATTCGTAGAAGTCTTATGAAGATAAGCATATCCAAGTGATAACTTTGACTTTAAATTAACATAGATAGAAATATGTTAAATACAGACACAATGTACCGTGTAAAATTTTAATAAAAATATGATGTAATTAAGTAATCTGTTAATTATTAAAGAATATAGGAATATTTACCGGAAATAAATAATAATAATAATAATTGTGATTATTGTTCCACGTTTTTGTAGCAATTTTGGACACTATTGATCAGAGGTTTTAAGCTTAAAAGGTGTTAAGCCTGCACGTTTCGTAATTCGACATCGAATCCACATAAATATTAGTCAAGGTAACAGCTAATTATAATTGGAGCCAGAGTAATTGGAGCCAGAGTAAGAAAACAAAAATAAATTTAAAACATAAGTTGTAAGAAGTACAGTAAAACCAAATTTAGTTCTTTAAAAGCTGACATAATTGCTGACTATAATAGTTTTGCATATTTATTGATTCAAGAGATTCATTGCACATTTCTCATAGAGTATGGGATGAATGAGTTCAGATATCTGCTTGTTCTGTATTTGTGGCACATTAAGTCTCTTTCCAGAACGCAACCAGCTATAATTATCGAATAAAAGATTAGTTTTTATACATTATTATTCGTTTTGCTTTTCTATTATTTTCTTACACATATATTTTCTCGAGAGATCTGCTCGTTCAATTTTTTCAGCTCTATATATACTCTCTGAATATTCATGCAGCCTAAGATTATCAAACCATGACAATGTATCCATAGACATTAACACTTTCAACAACAGAAGTGTAAAACATTTTAGGTATTATTATTATTGTGGACTCTAAAAAATCTTAAGGTTTTGCAGTCTAACTTTCCCTTTGTCAACGATGACCTTACACTGTTCTTCCCAGTTGAACCAATCGTTGATTACAGTACCTATATATATATTTCCATATATATATATATATATATATATATAAATCAAGATAGCCGTTAACACTGTTAAATTAAATACATAAAACAACAAAACTTTTCTTTGATGATTTATATATAATTTAACAGTGTTAACGGCTATTTTGATTTATATATATATATATATATATATATATATATATATATACATATTCCAATCTGCAAACAGTACCGTTAGATCTTGTTAGATCTCATCAGTGCAGCTGAAACACATAATATATGATATATAATCATATAGGCCTACTGTAATATTATATTATTATACATTATTATTATTATTATTATTATTATTATTATTATTATTATATTATTAATTTATTATTTTTATATAATTATTATTATTATTATTATTATTATTATTAGTAAGCATTTTTATTAGTTAGCAACTCCTAAAACACTTTTGGTATAATATGCCTACTAACGGCAATGACACCTCTATACGATAATACTGTCTGGAAAAGGACTTAATCTACCTGCCTAGGAAATATTGACAATCTCTGAGTGGCTACTACTACACTCAACAGGGGCCCAATCGCAATCGAGTTTATCTGATATATTGAATACATAGGCCTACATGAATATTTAATAATGGGTGCATAGACATGCACCCATTATCTAGACTATCAATTTCTATTTGACAGAAACATGTAAAATGCATAAATATGGTCATGATGACATCACATAGTGACCATGTATAGGCACATCATGACTATATATGGGCATACAACAAAAATAGAATAAGTACAGTAGCACCTTCTTTAGACTAACGAAATTTATTGAGCTTTCGTTAGCTTCATCGGGAGACACAAGGCATAGAACAAGATTGAGTATTGTAGTAGGAGTAGAAGCTAAATGAACGTTTACAATCAAGGCATACAACGGTTTTGTTTTCAAAGAAAGTTTTATAATCTGGAAAACGATGAAGACGGTCATGCTTGGGTATTTTAATTTTAGTGGGGACATACTAAAACGCAGTCAGTCTATACATCGAATTGTTCATAAATGTTATCTTTCTGTCTTGCTTTATTCAGTTTCAAATGCCTTACAATAAAAGTTGCATTTACATAAATAGATAAAACACATCATTTTTCAGTCAATGATAAATTCAATCAATGCAATGAATGAACAGTATGGCGTTGTGAACACGCGTTATAATAGCTTACTGCCTGTCCAGTCAATGAAATACATTTATGCACTTGTCAACTGTAGTCCCACCCCCTCCAGGGACGTATCCAGGGGGGGGAGCCGTGGGAGCCGCGGCTCCCCCCCCCCCTTTGTACACATTGTTAAAATTTTAAAGCTTATTCTTGAGCCAATACAAATTCTTTTCTGGGATCACTCAAAATGAATACTTCTAAACATGTAAATATGCATCATTACACGTAATTATAGGCCTAATAGAACACATAGGCCTAAGCGTGATTTAGCAAAATCTTAAATCCATAAATCTCAGGCCAGGTCTTTTAAGATAGAAATTCGATACTGTGGTTTCGTTTTTATTCTTTTGCAAGGTTCTTTAAATGTTTGTTTAATAATACTACTACTAATAGTAATAATAATAATAACAACGATGATGATGACGATAGTAATAATTTATATTAATATTAATAACAATAAAAAGTGAAGAAAATTGTGCTAAATGCGAAAAAAGTTGTGATTTGTTGATAATAATATAGTATATAATTATAGTTAAAGCTTAGTAAGCTATAATTAGGCCTAAGTTGTCCTGGATATTAAGTAGATCCCTGATAAAAGATCATGAGAAATTTGTTGGCGTTTCATTTTGACTATAATGGTAATGTGATGATGATGTAAAAGTGTCATTTCCGGCCATCTCGAGAGGTACTATTTCCTCAAATTTTCTCACCTCAGCCCCAGCCATGGTGGGGCTGAGGTGGTTGTGAAATCACGTTTTTGAAGTAGGCCTATGTAAAGTACATACTCAAAGACAATGTTTTTAAGCTTTGTAT